TGGTGGGGCACACGTGTAATCCCAGCACATGGGAGGCTGAGGCAGAAGGATCGCTATGACTCTGAGGCCAGCCTGGGCTACATAAAAATTTTTTTAAAAAGGAAAATAGTACCAACCCCAAACCTATGAGTTGACAATCCACCAGTCATTCCACATTTGAGATTTATGATGCTAGCCCTAGGGATTGCACTAGGTTTAGGATTCCAAGGAAAGGTCCCTGGGCTCTGCATGTCACAAAGGAGCTCACCCAGGCCTGAGGGGGCACATAGGTTGCTGTGGAAACCTGCTGTGCGGCGGGCAGAGTTCTGCCACCCTTGGCCAAAGTGTGTGTCACTACTTGAAAGCATTGGCAAAGATTGCATTTATCTATGTTTCCCAACTCATAAAACCTGTCAATATTTACTGAAGTGTAGGGTGGTAGATAGTTGCAATTGTGGGCAAAGGAACAGGGAGAAAACCTTGAAAGTTGAAGTTTAACTCTGAGCAAGTCATTTATCCTGTCCAATAAGAAGGTGTGGGTGTTGAGAAAGAGGGCCACCATGGTCCCGGAGCCCACCGGGAAATCAATCGAAAGGATTGAAATCAGCATTTTTAAAATGAAATAGAGTAGAAAATTCAATGGGGACAGTGGTACATGCCTATAATCCCAGCACTCAGGAGGCCGAGGCAAGAGGGTTACTGAGAGTTCAACACCAGCCTGAACTACACAGTGAGACCCTGCCTCAAAAAAGCAAATCAAGAGGGCTGGGGATTTAGCTCAGTGGTTCTGCCGCCTGCCTCACAAGCGCAAGGTCCTGAGTTTGATCCCTGGTACAAAAAAAAAAAAAGCAAAACAAGCCGGGATTTAGCTCAGTGGCACTTTGCCTGCTTGGCAAGTGCAAGGTCCTGAGTTCGATCCCCGGTACCAAAGAGAAAAAGAGAGAAAGTGAAAAAGCAAAACAAAAAAATTTTAAATATGATAAAGTCCATACAACATAAACAGATTAGTGTTATTCAATGTTAGACAAAATACTAAGTGCTTTTATCTAAAATTTAAAACCTCTTCCCTTCCACTTGTGGTCAAATTGCACGTTTGGATTTCTAGTGCCTTCACTGGTTTGAAGTTTTTCTTTCCTGGTTCCTGGATTATCAGTAAGAAGTATGTCAAGGTGTTTGTTTGTTTGTTTTTATGATATTGGGGATTGAACTCAGGGCTTCCTGACACTAGGCAAACACTACCACTGAGCTGCAGCCTCAGACTTTTTTTTTTTTTTTTTTTGAGACAGGGTCTGGCTATGTAGCACAGGCTGGCCTTGAACTCACTGTGTAGCCCAGGCTGGCCTCAAACTTGTGGCGAGCTTCCTGCCTCAGCCTCCTGAGTGCTAAGATTACAGGTGTACACCACCATGCTCAGCCATGGCCTCAAACTTGCAATCCTTCTGTCTCAGCCTCCCAAGGAGCTGGAGTTGCAAGTGCGTATTTTGACTTTTCTCTCAAGGGGCAAGTTCTGCTTTCCCTCTTGTACCAGAGACTGAGAAGGAGAATGTATTTTCATTCAATTGTATTTTGCATTTAAAAAACAGATAAGCATAAAGATGAACTAGAACTACCAGTTCATGTGGCATTTGTCTTTCTGTGTCTGTCTTATTTCACTTAATGTCCTCTGGATTTGCCCATGTTGTTGGCAGTGACAGGGTGTCACCCTTTTTATGGGTGAATAGGGTTCCACTGTGTATATGACCACATCCTACTTATTTATTCTTTAGGCATAAATTCTGTTTCCCCAGGTTTGGCTTTTCAAGGGTACAGGTTTGTTTTTTGCCTCTTCACATGTCTGCCTAGCACATAGCTCTACGCAGTAAGTAAAAATGGTCTCATCTTTTCATCCCACCTGCTAGCAGTGACCCCTTGGAGTCACTTATTCTGGAATTAGGCTGTCAAAGCCCCTTAAAGACACCTTTCTTTGGTTTTGGTTTTATTTTGCTTTGTTTATACTGAGATAGGATCTCTCTACATACTCCAGGCTGGCCTTCAATTTGAAATGATCCTGCCTCAGTCTCCTGAGTGCTGGGATCACAGGTGTGGGCAACCATGCCTGGCTAGAGTGGGATTTTTTTTTTTTTTGGTACCGGGATCGAACTCAGGACCTGGTACTTGTGAGGCAGTTGGCGGCACCACTGAGCTAAATCCCCGGCCCTAGAGTGGGAATTTTAACGCACACACATTCCAGGCTCATCCTTATGCCAGAGGCTTCAGCCAGTGGAGCTGCTCCTACAAAGACATCTTTCTCCTTCTCCATGAACCCAGGTCGAAGCCCAGCTCCTGGACATTTCCATGTCACCATCCTGCCTGACTCCAAACCCCCACTCCCACCTGGCTCTGTCCTCGCCTGTGCTGACCATTGCCTACTCTGTGCCAGTCCTGCTCTCCGGAGCTCCCACTGCCTCTGCTCACTGAAACCCAAGGAAGGAAAGCCGGGAGGCGAGGTTTTCCTGTTTGAAGCTGACACAACTATCCCAAGAAACTGAGCAATCCAGCACCTCGACTGATCCCAAACTCAAAGTGTCACTTATTTCTTCAGCACATTCTACTCTCCTTGCAAACCTTGGTGCATTTTGTGAAAATTGAGGCATACACAATTTCACTTCTGTGTGCCTTCTGGAAGGACTGCAAGAATCTTAATTCCAGTGTAAGGCACAGCTTCTGTAACAGTCTGTGGAAAGCTGGACTTTGAGAAATATACATATCAAGCTGAGTGTGGTGGCGCACACCTGTAATCCCAGCACTGAAGTGGCTGAGGCAGGAGGACCACTGGGAGTTCAAGACTAGCCCGGGCTACACAGTGAGTACAAGGTCAGCCTGAGCGTCATAGGGAGACCCTGTCTCAAAAAAAAGAAAGAAAGAAAAAGAAAAGAAAGAAAGAAAAAATAGTTTAAATAAAAGACCCAGTTGGGTGTGGAGGCACATGCCTGCAATCCCAGCACCCAGGATGTTGAGGAAGGAGGATCACAAGTTTCAGGCTAACCTGGGCTACATAGGGGGAGACTCTGTCTCAAAAAAAAAAAAAAGACCCAAACCATATTTCATTGCAAGCATCCAAATTACTGGGTTCCCAGAAATGGCAGATAATGCTATATAATAAAAGTGACACTAACAACAATGACAATCAGATAAAAAAATCAAACAGTTGAATGGCTGTGTGAAGCACAGGGCAAAGAAAAACAGTCTTTCAGGACAAAGCGATCTAAATTTATATTCATTGACTGGAAATGGCAGAAGATTCTTGTACAGCTTGCAGGGAGAAAGAGTAAGGGAAAGGGATTTAAAAGCAAACTGCCTGTTACCACTAATAACCTCATGTAAAGAAACATAATTGATAGCTTTGTTTGCACCTTTGTTGCTTCACTTTAGTGGATATAAAATTTTTATTTGAAATTTCATATAAATGGTCCTGACCTCTGTTCATTTTCCTGTCATTTTTCCCAGGAGGGTGTAAGATTTTCACTGGGAAATACTAGTATTTGTTGTTGGTTTCTTTTTCAGAGAGACTAAGGTGCAGCCAGGATCCAGCTGGTGAGATTTAAAAATATGTGTTTAGACAGAGAGAGGTTTTACACCAGGTGTGGGGTGTAGAGAGAAGGGCAGTGGGCAGATTCCAAGTACTGACTGGCTTTTCCAGTGTAACCAGGGGAAAGCTGGAGCCTGGGGCCTTGGAAATAGATTTCCATTTGAAAGCACTGTTTGGTCATGGGGGGAAAGCGCTTTATTTGCAACTCTTTTCTGGTCCTAGTTTCTCTCATACTGCAGCTATTTCTAAATTCATCTCTCTCAGGGGTCCATAAATTACAGATGGGGGGGGACCTGAAAGCTTGAAAGGAGTTTTAGAAGTATTATTTTTCTCTTATTATTTTGTTATGAAATTCTTATTTTTTCATAAAATGTAACAAGAATCAAATTTTTATTTAAAAAAAAACCATCGGAATTAAACAGGGTCTTCTCATTGAAATACATCTCTAGTCGTCTTTATTTTTTCTTTTTTTCTGACAAGGTCTTGCTATGTTGTCCAGGCTGGCCTTGAATTCGCAATGAACCTATCCTCCTGCCTCAGCCTCCTGCTGGGATCACAGGCATGTGCCACCTTTTACGTAGCTTTTACTTATTTATTTATTTGTTTATTTTGGAGACAGGGTTCCTCTAAAGCTGAACTTGAACTTGCGATCCTCTGTACACTGCCTTCTGCAGGGCTTGGATTACAGGCTTGTTTTATTTGTTATCCATTGCAACAATCCTATACTAACAATAGCGGCCAAGAACTTGAAAGTTAATCTGCTATCCTATCACTGAACAGATCACTTGTTTCCACTTTTCCCTTCTATTCTCGAGCATTAAACATTACCCAAAGCACTTTGCCAGTCTTAGTTCCAGCGCTTCCTCCATACACCTTTATTGTTTGTTTTGGTTTGTTTGTTGGTTTTCTGGGACTAGGTTTCGCTATGTAGTCCAGGCTTGCCTTGCTTGCATACACCTTGAATATGGGTTTGCATTTTGCTTTTAATTCTTTTATGTTTTTTGCTTTATTCTTGCTTACATATTTGTAAGGCTGCAAAATATATACTCACAATATGGCTTTCGTGGCTACAATAGGGACAAACACTTTAATAGGAACTACCTCATTGCAAGTATCCTACGTTTTGGGAGCCAAAGCTAGCACGTTTGACCTTGCACAGCAGGCCGCAGAGGTCGGTCAAGGTGGCTCGGGACTACTAGGGCTGCGTCCCGCTGCACCGCGGGGGAGGAGCGCCGAGGCCGAGAACGCTCAGCCAATCGCGTGGCTTCCCGGCGCACCTGCTGTCTTGGCGCCTTTTCCTCGAGGCCCCGCCCCGCCCCGCCCCACTGGGTGCGCGCGCAACTCGCCGCCCAGAGCTTTTTTTTCCTTAGACTACCTCCTTAGGTGGTACGTGAGGCCGGAAGTGACATCAACCCCTGGGGGGGTCAGAGGCGGGGCCTGGTTATAAATTGCGTTGGGGGCGGACATCGCCTCAGAGGGCGTCGGGAGTGCGAACTACGCTGAGCAACGCTGGAGGTTCCTGTGTGAGTGATGCGCTCAGGGAAGACCCGGCCGCGCCTCGCGTTCTCTCTCCCCAGCCTTCGGGGCAGGTCCGAGCGGTCCTAGGGCCGGTCCGCCGCGGTGCTGTCCAGCAGCCTTGGGCCGAGCAGGGCAGGCGGGCGACAGCTGGGCCTGGGGGCGAGGGCCGGCGGGGTGGGACCGCAGTGGGCGCTTTCTGCGCCCGCTCGGATACCATCCACCGAGTGGCTGCAGTGCTAGAGCCGGGGGCGAAGTGAAGGGTCCCACTGTGGCGCTGCGCCCCTCTTGCCTCGGTTCCGGGCTCCCCAAATCCTCTTCCTCACTCGAAGGGCTGCAGCGCCGGGCCTCTGGCCGCGAGCACGTGCTGCCCCAGGAAGTCGCCCTGGTCAGCGGCTGCCCGGGGTCGGGGGTGACCTTGGCCTCGGAACCCATCGCCCCCTGCGCGGCCCTGAGGGCTCGGGTCTCACTGCGGAGAGAAACACAGCTGCCTCCGATTTGGTGACCTGCAGCGTGTCTCAGGCATTTAGATGGCAGCTACAGCGCGCACTGCAACCCCGCTGCCACCTGATCTTTTCTTGCGGGCTCTGCCTCTTGGCCTTGTGGGTGGATTCTCGGTTTTTCCAATGCAGAATCAGCGCGAGCGCCGCAGGTGTTCACCATAAGAATATTGCTAGCAGTCCTCGTTACAAGATGGGCGACCTCGGGAACTAGACTTACTTGTAAAGGGTGTTTGGGAGCTAGCAAACCCAAAGGGTTGTAGAAACCCACTGGGTTCGCTGTTACTGTTGGACAGCGCTCTAAAGTGGTAGTGGAGAGTGTGGATAAGAAAATATTTGGTGACAATTCTGTTAACACTTTGTCCCAGCTCACTGCTTATGGTGACCTTGGGCTGCATCACTTATCCAGAGGATTGGATTGTTGTTCGCCCCCTTCTTTCTCTCTTTCGTGTGGTTTTTTTTTTTTGTAAGAGAATTGAAGTAGGAAATAGACCTGTTACAGAAGTACTTGGCTACTGGCTACCTTTATTCTAGGCTTAGATATTAGTTTGAAATACTAGATGCTAATTCAGTTGTCTCTGGGAAATTTGACCTCATCGACAAAGACATTTAAGCTAATTTCTAGAAGTTACTGTGAGAATTAAGTTCAGGTTTTCTAAATACTTGTGGGCCCTGCTGGAATTTTTATTTTGCTTTTTGTTTTTCTACTAATAGCAATCGTTTTTCACAGGCTTATCAGTGAGATAAAAAAATTCGATGAATGTTAAAAAAAAATTTAAGGCTTATCAGTAAAATCAAAAAATGCGGTGAACGTTAAAACTTTTTTTTTCTTGCTACCGAGGATCGAACTCAGGTCCTTGCGCTTTCGGGGCAGGTGGTGGAATCACTGAGCTAAATCCTCTGCCCTAAAACATTTTTGTTTTTGTTTTTTTTTTTAATTTGTTTGTTTAGTTTTTTCTTTTTGGTACCGGGGATCGAACTTGGGACCTTGCGCTTGTGAAGCGGGCAGAGGAACCACTAAGCTAAATCCCCAGCGCACATTTTGGTTTTTTTGAAACAAGACCTCGATGTGTAGTTCAGGCTAGCCTCAAACTTGCTTTGATCCTCTTACCTCATTGAGTGCTGGAATAACAAGTGTGCCACACCTGGCTAAAAGTTTTTTTTTTTTAAAGTTTACTTCAATAAAAGACATTGGTCCATTCCTGTAATCCCAGCAGGATCACAAGAGGTTGAGGCCAGCCTGGGGGGCTACATAGTTCAAGACCAATGTGAACTATATATTGAGATCCTGTCTCAAAAACATTAAAAGTTGGGTGTGGTGGGACACAACTGTAATCTAGGCACTGACTGGCAGGCTGAGGCAGGAGGATTGTGGCGAGTTCGAGGCCAACCTGGACTACATAGCGAGATCTTGTCTCAAAATACAATAACAGGGCCGGGGATTTAGCTCAGTGGTTCTGGTGCCTGCCTTGCAAGTGCAAGGTCCTGAGTTCAGTCCTTGGTACCAAAAGAAAAAACCACAAACAATCAAAATACAAAAACAAATAAACCAAAGCAATAAAAATATATGACATATTGCCCTTAATCCCCCTCAAAATATTCTCCCTCAATTCTAACACACTTATTCCATCATTCTTGCCACTTGTGTGTGTGTGTGTGTGGTACCGGGGATTGAACTCAGGACCTTGCACTTGTGAGGCAGGCGCAGCACCACTGAGCTAAATCCGCAGCACAATTCTTGCCACATTTTGAAGACTTCTGGAAGTCCTCTTATGAGTGTCTTTACTTGTGCTGTCATGGCTGCTTTAATGTCCTGAATCAATTCAAAATACTGACCTTTATGTCTTTGAGGAGGAACCAGAAGTCACAGGATGGCAGTTCTGTGGATGAGGTGGATGAGGACATGAGGACACACAGTGATGTTTTTAAAGCCTGAATTATGCTTGAATGGCACTTGGCAGTAGCATTCACTATATTTTTGATCACACCTTGTAAAATACACTAAAAAGGCAGACGTGCCTCAGAAAGTGGCAAAAACGATGGAATGTGTTCAAAGGGAGGAGGAGTATTTTGAGGAAGATTTAACAGCAGTGTGTCTTTTACTATAATTAAGAAATTTAAAAAATTTAAGCACTTTTTTTTTTGGTATATGTGCTGTGGAAGTGACCACAACATACCTTTTTTTTTGGTACCAGCGATCGAACTTGGGTCCTTGCGCTTGCACAGCAGGCGGTGAAACCACTGAGCTAAATCCTCGGCTCCAACATATCATATTTTTTGATCAACTCTATATGTAGCATAGCAACTTTTTGTCTTTGATGGGCTCTTGTCATGTCAAGTAATGGTGGCTGTGAACCCAACCTGTGTTGATGATTGTTGGACAAAGGTCAGTCAGTTTGGCAGCCTCACCCTAAGGCTAGGCAGTCATTTGCCTCCGCTAAGGTTCTCAGTTAAACCTAAATCTGACAACAATGAAAGTTAATTAAAAATGACCCTCTGAGGCCTTGTGGAACTCTTTTAGGTTGGTGTCTACTTCCTGCTGTCTCATATGAGCAATATACCAGTGGATGACAGTGGCTTCAAGTAGTTCTGACCTTCAGGTTGGGCATTCTCTTCAGAAAGCTGAAAAAAAGAAGCTGGAAGAAAATAAAGATTCTGCTTTTCTTTGATTTCCTCCACGGTCCTTGCATTTCAGCCCTATGAAGTTAGCCTCTTAAAGCTAAGAAAGACCTTGATGCTGTATTGTCAAATCATACCCAATGTATACAAGTTTGTGGGTTCTAAGTGAGCCTGTGAGTTCTAAGTGAGACAGTGAAGGTCTTTAGAACAGACCCTTAAAAGCAGGTAGAGGAACTTCCTTATGTGAGTTTCAAGAATTTGAAAGAGTGGCCTGTTTCCTAAATTGAAGTGGACTTCTCCGTGTGAACAGGTGGCTTATGCTTATTTCATGAAAAAAGAGTGGCCGCTTTGGGTGTGTTATCCATATGTGCAAGTGTGCCTGACCCTAGTCGCACCTTCCAGCTCTCTGTGTTTACAGATCCCTAGTTTTGAGGTGCTACAAAGTAGCTTAAGATGTCAAGATAATTACTGTCTTTAAAAAATTAAGTCGAATTTAATGCTGTATTTCAAGGAAGTGGGAATTAGATGATTGAGTTTATTCTGCAGCACCAGAGACTGAAGTCAGGCCCTTTTGCAGTAAGTAGAGCACTCTACCAGGGAGCATTATCTCCCGGCAAGATTATTGCATTTAAAGAAGTTTGGGGCTCTCTAGTGTCTCTGCCTGCTTATCTTCCATCTCACAGTCAATTAAAGACATTTTAGGTCCTCCTTCCACTTTAGGTTCAAAACACACAGGGCTGTGTTTTGCTTATTTTAATTGCTGTTATGAATGTGAGAACTATTTAGTTTTTAAGTTACCACTGTTATATCAAACACACACATAACTAGTATGAGAAAATCGAAGTGATATTTGGTTTATCTCTTTGCTAGACTATCAGCATTGGTGGTGTGATCTTGAAACAGGCCAAATGAGAGCAATGTGACCTCTGAACAGAACTGCTTATAGACAGAATGGTGTTGTATCTGCTATGGGAAGTTCCTCTCCCACGCTTTTGGAGCACATAGTGGTTTTACTTAGAAGAAAATTTATTAACAGATTCTCTTAAATAGAAAGCTGCTTTCCTATATGTGAGGTTATTTTGAAAGACTGACTCATAAAACTTCAGGAGTAACTTGTGGATATCATAGAACTGCTGTGGTCTTCACAGATACAGATTAAGTGATAGGAATAAAATGGAAATTGATTAGCTCAAAATTTTTGTCCCTGACTTGATTTCCTTTATGTTCTTAATTTTGTGTCTGGTTATTGAAATAGAAATCCCATCTGTTTTCTTGGTAAAAAATTTAATTGTATTAATACATAATCATACTTTCATGGCAGTAGACTGAAGTCACTCTTGTCATTTGTTTAAATTATTTAGATCATTTATTTTTTACTTTTTTGGTGCCAGGGATCAAACCTCGGGTCCTTGCGCTTGTGAGGCAGGCAGCAGAACCACTGAGCTAAATCCCAGCCTAGATCATTTATTTTATTTTGGTACCGGGGATCGAACTTGGGACCTTGTGCTTGCAAGGCAGGGGGTGGAACCACTGAGCTAAATTCCCAGCTAGATCATTTATTTAAATGTGTTAGTACTTCAGTTTTTAAATTAATTTAAGGATTAGAAGTGTAGCTCAGTGAGGCCCTGGGTTCAATTTCCAGTACTGCAAAATAAATAAGACTCATTTAAAACTAGAGAACCTGAGGAATGTCTGGTACAGACAAGCATTAAACTTGTAAGCTGTTATTTTTCCCCCTAGAAAAGGCTATTTAAAACAGGCTCAGGGTGGGGCCTTTTCATTCTGGAACTAGTGATTGGGCCTGAACAGTGTGGTGCTATAGTGATGATAAACTTTTTGTACCAGAAGGGGAAAGAGATTGTGTTTCTAAGAATATGATCTATTGCATATGTCTTTTTGAGTTTGTGTGTGTGTGTGTGTGTGTGTTTTGACAGGGTCTTGCTATGTGGCCCAGGCTGGCTTTGAATTCATTGCAATCCTTCTGCCTCAGCCTTCTGAGTGCTAGCCTTACAGGCGTGTGTCACCATGCCTGCATTTTTTGTGGGGTATTTTTTATTTTTTTTGAGACAGGGTCTCGCCATGTATTTTAGGCTGGCCTTAGACTTGTTATGTAGCCCAGGCTGGCCTTGAATTCTAGGTGATCAATCCTCCTTTTAGCCTCCCAAGGGCTAGGATCACCAGTGGGTGCCACCACACCCAGTTTAGTGCATCTGGTTTAAAGCTTGGACTTAAAATATTTTGTAATTTATCTAACATTCTTTGTTTTACAATCAGCATGCTTTGTGCCATCTGAGTGTCCATTGTGCTACAAGTGTACTTGTACATAGAAAAAGCCTTAAAGTAGATAGTATGTATGCAGTAAATGTCTATTTTATAAATCTTGGCCTAACATTCAAGCATTTAGATGCACTCAAGCCAGATTAATCAGAATGTTCAGATTTCAGTTTAGGCTTTAAGTAAACACATGGTTATAGAAGTCTATAATGAAAAAGACAATAATGAAGTCTATAATGAAAAAGGTTAATTTCTTAAATTTCTAGAGATAATGCAATTTCTATAACCCAGTAATCCATTGAACTTCATTTTTAGGATATCAGTTTCAGCCTTATACAAATCACTCAGTCTTTCAGATAATTGATCTCTTGATCTATAAAATAGCATAGGCCTTTGTGGTTTCTGTAGCATGACCAGTCTTGATTCATTCCGCTTTGGTTTTTGTTTTTTCCCCAGATGGTAGTCTGTCATCTTTTTTGTATTTGTCCCTTTTCTTTGACTACTAAATTTTATTACTGAAATCTACTCGACATGCTAACTATCCCCCATTTTAATTTTCAAAAATTTCAAGCCTGAAGGAAAAATTGAAATAATAGCACAGTGATGTTGTCTATGATCCCTTTCACTATTTTCAGTGACTGTTAAGTTTGCCACACTTTCCCCTTTCCCCTTTCTGTTTTTGTAACATGTGTGCCTGAGTAAAAAATGACTCTGAGCTGGGGGTGGTGGTGTATGCTTGTAATCCGAGCTAATCAGGAGGCTGAGGCAGGAGGGTAGCAAATCCAAGGCCAGCCTGGGCAGCTTAGCAGTATCAAGTAATTTTGTCCTAACTGGGCATGGTGGAGGATGCCAGTAATCCCAGCAGACTGAGGTGGGAAGATTGCTGTGAGGAGGTCAGCCTGGGCTACATAGAGAGTTCAAGGCCAGTCTGAGCTATATATTGAGACCTTGTCTCAAAAACCAATAAATAAAAAGGGCTGGAGATGCAGCTCAGTGGTAAAGCACCCTTGGATTCAATTCCTAGTACTGGAGGAAAAGAAAGCCCTTAACTCTTAATAGGTCAGAGTTTGAGGTAGACCTACCACCTCTGCACCCTCTCTACTCCTGGAAAGCTCTGGGCACTTCTTTCATCTCTCCAGAAACCATTTGCTCAGGGAACTTGCTGAGGGTCAGCTACACTCAATCCCCAGCCAGCACACATCTGTCCAGAGCACTGCCCCTGGACAGCCTGGGACTGAGTATATAAGAACAAAAATTTATAACCCTGTTATTTCACTCCAAAAATACTGCATAGATAAAATAGCATTATCAAGTATGTATTCAGATTTCATATTTGTCCCAATAATGTCCTTCTTAGCTGTCCCTACCACTATCCCACCTCAATCCAGGACTCAGTCAGCTGTCATAGTAAATTTAGTTGTCATGTAAATTAAATATTTTGGTTAAAGATCTTTTCTAGAAAAATGATAATTATTTGCAAGAAAATTTGACATGGCCGGGGATTTAGCTCAGTGGTTTCGCTGCTGGCTGTGCAAGCACAAGGATCCGAGTTCGATCCCTGGTACCAAAAAAAAAAAAAAAAAGAAAATTTACATAATAATTAATGTAGCCTGATAATGAAAAATTTTATTAATTTGATGCATTGACATCTGTCATATTAACTTTCTATTCCATAACCAGGTTCTTCCGTGTGGCAGCTCAGAATGATGAATCAAGCCAGGGCAACGTTCTCAAACTTGGTAAGATATCTTCAGTTATAGGTCTGTGTCTGCAAGAATGTGAGGTATAGCACTGGCTATTACCCCACCAAGTATGAAATAATGCCCGCAAATGTCACCAGGCATCCTTGTATACTTGAACTGGTTATCTTGAGGTCTTAAGAGATCCCACAGAGGAAGAGTGTATTTAGTTTGGGATAAGGTTAATTCTAGAAAATATTGTAAGAGGTTTCAGGTTTCAGGTAGCTTGGGTATGTTGGGGATGGGGGTAGTCAAATAGATAAGATGAGCTAAGAAAGCACAGCTCAAAGTGTATAGTAGGAGCTGGGCACTATGGTCTTGCCTAGGGTCCTAGCTACTTAGAAGGCTGAAGTAGGAGAATCATTTGAGCTCAACAGTTTGAGGCCAACCCAGGCAACAGAGTAAGACCCTGTCTCCTTTAAAAAAAAAATAATGGTGGGTGGTATGTGTTAATTAGAAAACATACAATGGGCTGGGGATTTAGCTCAGTGGTTTCACCGTCTGCTGGTCTGCTGCGCAAGCGCAAGGACGCGAGTTCAATCCCCGGTACAAAAAAAAAAAGAAAACATACAAAAACCTGGAATGAAAGGGATGCATAGGATGAAGACCAGTGTGTGATGCAGTCTTCATCTGCCACCCACAGAAGTGGGCAGGAACAGTGCTGTTTTGAAAGGGGATCTTTAATTCTTTTAGGAATGTAATCAAGTCATAGCGGTGGGGCACTAACAAGCATAGTATGTGACCAGACTTGTTGTAAACGCTCCTAATTCCCTTCATCTCCTTTGTGATGCTTTCTCTTTTTAAAAAACTCCCAGTTTGGTGGAGAACCATTGTCATATACCCGGTTTAGTCTGGCTCGGCACGTAGATGGAGATAACAGTCATGTGGAGATGAAGCTGGCTGCAGATGAGGAAGAAAATGCTGACAACATGAGGGCCAATGTCAAAGCACCAAGAAGGTGTATCAGAAGCATCTGCTATGTGGTTATTGCCATCACCATTTTTTTCTTGATTGGTAAGTGTTTCTTGCACCCAGCTCTGGGAAGGCCATTATTTCCACTCAGCTGTTCATTCTGTACTTTTTTTTTTTTAATGTATAACTTTATTATCATTCACTAAACACATACATATACAAGAATTAAAGAAAAGCAGTGCAAGGGAAAAAAAACTATAATAATATTCAAATATAATAGAACTCAACCAAAGCAAAACTGAAAAATACTTAAACATTTTTCCATATAATTTAAAAAAACATCTCAAGCATTAACAAGACATCAAAGGATGTGATTTGTTTTAGAAAGATTTTTCAAAACTAATATTGAACAAATAGTGGTCTGGAAAAAAAATTCTAATTAGCTAGTAGACTCCACATAGGCCAAATTTTTTAAAATTTAAATTTCAATACAGTCATGTTATTCTGTACTTTTTAAGTGCCACTGTGCAAGACAGAATACGATGGTGACTAAGATTCTGTACCTGCCATTGAATTTAGTCTGGTGGGAGAAGAGAGAGATGTGAGTCATTGCAGTGTATTGCGCAGATGTTATACTGCAAAGAACACAGGATATCTGAGACATGGAAACTCAGCCTGAGGTTTCAAGGAAGGCTTCTGGTAAGAAAAAGTGCCACCTGTGTTTTAAACAGGTAACTGTAGTATAGTTATTATATAACTTAGTCATTATTATATAATGTATTGGATTATGTGGTTTAAAATCTATAAAACTGAGATATAGTCATTTGCTTTCAGACTACAATTCAGTTTAAACCAGTATCTTCAAGGCTTGGCTGAAAATATTAACAATTCTTATGGAGCCAGATTATAAATGAATTCTGTGAGTTTAGCTTTACAACCTTTTATCCTAGGATTTATGATCGGGTACCTGGGCTACTGTAGACGTGTAGAACCAAAGGCTGAGTGTGAGAGACCAGCAGTCATGGATGTGATGAAGGAGTCAGAAGACCTGGAAGTGGAAGAAGTGATGCCTGAAGCCTCCTCTCACTTGTACTGGGAAGACCTCAAAACAATGTTGTCAGAGAAACTCAGCAATGCAAAGTTCAGCGACACAGTCAAGTAAGCTTGAGCTGCTTCGCAAATCCAACTTCAGTATCTGAGCAAATACTGCTTATTAGGTGCAGTGAGACAAAACCAGTGGCAGATGGGGGAGGTGTTTTAGAGGAGGGGAGGTTTCTCATGGGTAGCTAGCGTAGGGTTAAGAGGTCAGTAAGAATTGAAACTGTGCTGGTGGGGCAAATTTAGAACTTTTCTGGAAATGTACAGGTCCTTGCTCTTGTGTTTCTGGTATCTTACTGCTTAGTCTCAGGCTCTGTTCTATTTGTTTGTTTTAATATTGGTTTTTTTGAGACAGGGTCTCACTAGGCAGTTCAGGCTGGCCTTAACTTGGTTTGTAGCCCAGGCTGGCCTGGAACTCCAGTGATCCTCCTGCCTCTGCCTCCTGAGAGCTGGGATTAAAGGCATGCTCCACCATACCTGGCTTGTTTCCTAGATTTAGCTATTGAGTTGTGCTGCTGTGAGCATGGGTGTGCGTGATTATTGAAATATAATGATTTTAACTTTTGTATATAATATACAGCTGGCATTACGGTTAAAAGTAAAAACGAGCTGTGTGGGTGGTGCATGCCTGTAGTCCAGCACTATGGCAGTGCCAGAGTTTTGGTTCATTGTTTATCTTAACTATGAGGGATGAGACAGATCAGTTTTTTTGATTCTTGGGTTGAACATCAATTTTGAATATCCACTTTAATGGAGACTTTTTTCTTCCAGACAGCTGAATGAAAATGCATATGTCCCTCGTGAGGCTGGTTCTGAAAAAGATGAAAATCTTGCCTATTTTGTTGAGAATCAGTTCAGTGAATATAAACTCAGCAAAGTCTGGCGGAATGAACACTATGTTAAGATTCAAGTAAAAAACAGGTGTGTTGAAAGATGGTAAACTTGTAGGAGTAATTTCATGTATGTAAAATGGGATAGACTTTCAAAGTAAGAATCAGGCTTTAAGGTATAAAGCAAGATTCCTTCAAGGCAAGTAACCCAGGTCCAATGCTAGACATACTAAAGCTGTTTTATTATTTCATCCAAGGACGGCCTTAACTTCATTTAAATTTAGTCTTTTTTTTTTCAGCACTGCTCCAAACTCTGTGACTGTGGTAAGTGCAAATAATGGGATGGTGTACCTGGTGGAGAATCCTGAGGGCTACGTGGCATACAGTAAGGCTGCAACAGTTACTGTAAGTAAGGCACACAGTGCAGGAGACTGCTCACCGTTGACTAGCTTGGATACTCATCTCCACTGTCCTTTCTCCCTCTTTTTCCCCACGGATCTTAGAGTTATACTTGTAAAATGTAACTGACCATGAGATAGATATTCTTGTCCTCAACCCTCAGTGCCTCAGTCTAAATAAATTATAAGACCTAAATAATCTTACTGCTTGCCTCATTGGTCACTCTGACCTTCTTACTGTTCACATGATGAAACTCACTGACAGGATCACTAGCTTTCATTTTGCCCAAATGAAGAAAGCTCAAGCGTAAAAAGCTCCTACCTCAAGACCCTTGTAAAATTTAGCTGGGCATGATAGCACACTCCTGTAATCCCAGCACTCGGGAGGCTGAGGCAGGAGTTTGAGGTCAGCCTGGGCTAAAGGCTAGTTCTAGGAGGGCCTGAACTACGTAGCCAGACCCTGTTTCAATAACAAAAAGTAAAAAATAAATTAAAAAAAAACAACTTGCTTTTCCCTTTGCCAGTCCTCTCCTAAACACAAAGCAGTTTGTACCCTCACTTTGTGCAGGTCTCTTCTCCAGTATTACCTCATTAGGGAGGGTTTTCTCATTTTTCCAAAAACACTCCTCTAGTCACTTCCCCTTATCCTGCCTTTATTTTCTTCGTAGTATTCTTGCACCTGACATCACCTGTCTATTTATTTCCACTAAACTGTGAGTGCCAGGAAGAGCTAACTCAGGGTTAGTTTCATTCACTGATGTATCACAGAGCCATGGAGACTGCTTGATGCATGGTAGTTTTGCTAAGTGAGTGCATTTTCCAAATGCCCCACATGGGGACGTGTGGAAAAATCCATCTTGGGTGGGTCTGTAGCTTGGTGGTTGAATGCTTGCCTAGAATACTTGAGGTCCTGGACTCGATCCCAGTGTCACAGAAACCGACAAACTGGCTGGGGATTTTGATTCTTTTATGCTTGAGCTTTTTTTTTTTTGGTACCAGGGATTGAACTCAGGTCCTTGTGCTTGCGCAGCAGGCAGCGAAACCACTGAGCTAAATCCCCAGCCCTATGCTTGAGCTTTTTAAACTTGGCCTAAGAAATAGAAAATGGCTAGGTAGATTTTTTTTTTTTAGGTAGATTATTATTGTGGTTTTTTTTTTTTGTTTTTTTTTGAGACAAGATCTCACTATGTAGTTCAAACCTTGAACTCACTGTGTAGCTCAGGCTGACCTTGAACTTTTGGCAATCCTGCTTCACTCTCCCACCTGCTGGTATTACAGGAATGTGCCACCACCCTGGCTATTATTTTTTTAATGGTGGTATTTTCAGGTTAAAAGTCACATTAAGGGTTATATCTAAGGCATACAGATGAAATTTGATGGTTATTATCTGCCTTTCTGTTAGCTGTATCACTTTCCCCAGTACCTACAAGCCAGAAGTTTAGAGATGGACAGATTGTGCAGTTAGGGAACACCAAGGACCTTACTTCATCTGCCAGGCTTATATTCAGATACTGGGTGGTTCGTGTCAGTTTGTAGCTGCTCTCAGAAACACTATAGAGTTTAGGAACATTGTGATGACAGCTTATATAGTCATCTAAGAAATGGTTTATGCAAGACACTTTATTCTAGTGTATGGCTTTTAAATTATTTTGGAGGTTTATTAGACCTTTCTATTCCTACTATACATGTGTCCTCAAGTGTCTGAGGTTCATGGTGGAAACCTTATGTTACTGGCGCTTCTGTGATGAGCCTATGTATGTATTTTACAAATCCTGTTACCCTTTCTTTTCCCCAGAAAATATCCTGTAAAGGCTTTAAGACATAAGGAAAGACATACATATAGAAGGCCAGAAATCTTGATCTCATGCTTGATAACTGGCCAGTTTTGACTTTAGAACACTCGTCTTTTTTTTGCCTATCCCCCCACTTTTTCCTTCTTGGTTTCCTCTCCTACATTTGATCTGTAAAAACTCTTCTGTTTCAGATTGTATAGCTGTTCTAAGTGATCCTCATTAAACCTAATATCTTTGTTTTAGGGTAAACTGGTTCACGCTAACTTTGGCACTAAAAAGGACTTTGAAGATTTAAATACTTCTGTGAATGGATCTTTAGTGATTGTAAGAGCAGGGAAAATCACTTTTGCAGAAAAGGTGAGTATGGGGAATTTTAAATACATTGTGGTAGGCGTGTTGTTGCATGCCTGTAATCCTAGCACTCGGGAAGCTGAGGCAGGAGGATCACTGTGAGTTCAAGGCCAACGTGGGCTACATAGTGAGTTTAGGGCCAGTCTGAACTACAAAGCAAAACCCTGTTTTAAAAAACAAAACAAAATAAATACATTGTATCTTCAGTTAGTTATGTGACATTTTCTTAAGTTCTGTATAATTCAGTTATAAGTATGTAGTATTCAAAAGAAAAAGAAAAACTAAAAGCCAAACCTATGCAATAGTTGGAGACTAGAAAACATCAAAAGACAGTGATTGTCTTAGGTAGGTTTTCATTATTTTATTTTCCAGACTCTCCTTAATGAGATAGTTTTATGGAAATTTTTTTCCGTAAGTGTAAGTTATTGGAAATATTTGGAGGATCATTCTAGTCCTTTAGCATATAAAGTCCAATATGTATTATTCACATTTTGTATGATCAGTTCTTCATTTTCTGAGTTTTCTGTGATTTTCTGTAGGTTTCAAATGCTGCAGGCTTAAATGCACTTGGTGTCTTGATATACCTGGACAACACTCAATTTCCCATCACTAAGGCAGACCTTCCATTCTTTGGTCATGTGAGTTCTTACTGAGTTCTCCTGTTACTTAGTAGAAATAAAACTGTACCTTCCTTAGCTACTCTACTGGGAGAGTTTCAGCAGGAAGCAAGATTTTGATTACACTGATTTTGAGACCTTACTGCTACTAATTATTTATCAGTAGTACCTTGAATTGAGACTTGCTAAAAATACCTTTTGATAAAAGTGCTTTAGGGGTGCAGATTTAGTTCAGTGGTGACACTCCTGCTTGGCAAGTGCAAGGTCCTGAGTTCCATCACCAGTACCAAGAAAAAAAGAAAAATACTTCATCAGCCAGGCATGGTGGTAGACACCTGTAATCCCAGCACTCAGGAGGCTGAAGCAGGAGGATCACCGGAGTTCAAGGCCAGCCTGAACTACATAGTGAGATCCTGTACCCCAAAAAAGAGAGTACTTCGTCAGTAGTGCCTTTAATTGAGAATTTGCCATGTCCCATGTGAAAGGGAGAGTCACATTATAGAGCCATGGAGACTTGGAGACTTTAGGCTGATAATGTAGCATGGAGTGTGCCCTTACACCAAATCTGAGTCTTCTAGGGAACTTGTTGAGGAAGTGCCAGCAGAGCTAATTATTCTCTTGTTTTACTAGGCTCATCTGGGAACAGGCGACCCTTACACCCCTGGATTCCCTTCTTTTAATCATACCCAGTTTCCGCCATCTCAGTCATCTGGATTGCCTACTATTCCAGTCCAGACCATCTCCAGACAGGCTGCAGAAAATCTGTTTGCGTAAGCTCTCTCTCTTTTTTTTTTTTTGGTACCAGAAATTGAACTCAGGCCTCATACTGCATCCCCGGCTGGGTAAGTTCTTAATTGAAAGCTGTCTTGCAGGTTGAGGTTTGTGTTGAGGAAAGAATGATAAGTTTCAGTTGATTTGATCAGTGCTTAAAATGTTTGGTTATAATTTTATACTTGTGGGGGCCAGGAATTTAGGTCAGTGGTTTCACTGCCTGCTGCACAAGCGCAAGGACCTGAGTTTGATCCCTGGTACCAAAAAAAAAGCAAACAAATAATTGTATGCTTGTGGGAATTTGAAGGTGATTAACTATTAACTTGATATGGATAAAAATAAATTTTTCCTTCATAAAGTGGTCCTGCTAATAGATACTGGATTTATGAACTCAGGAGTCCTTGTCCAGCTCACCCAGTGAATTCTTCCTGTGGTTTTCTGGCTTAGCTTTTACTTGAGTAGTCTTTGATGGAGCACTTTGTCACCTATGGCAACACCCTCAGTTATTGGAGGAAATTTGTTAGAATTCATGTTGAGTTATTCCCTATAACACCCACTAGTTCTGAATTACTTGTTTTTTAACAGCACACAGTGATTTTCATCTCCTTGTCTACAGACTGAATGTCCTCAGTTGTCATGACAGTTTCTAGATGCTTTACTGTCATAATTGATTCTCCTGGATATCCTCCCTGGAGTAGTAGTATCTCTTTAAAAGTAGAAACTAAACCTGGCAGCGGTGATGCACGCCTGTAATCCTAGCACTTGGGAGGCTGAGGCAGCAAGATCTCCACAAGTTTGAAGCCAGCTTGGACCATATAGTGAGACCCTGTCTCAAAAAATAAACAAAAGAATTTAAAACTAAGAAAGAATGGAAAGAACAAAAAATAAAACTAGCCAGCTATGCTGGCACACGCCTATAATTCCAGCACTCAGGAAGCTGAGGCAGGAGTTTGAGGCCAGCCTGGACTACATAGCAAGACCCTGCCTCAAAAAACAACCACCAGTTGGCCGGGGATTTAGCTCAGTGGCACTGCGCCTGCCTGACAAGCCCATGGTCCTGAGTTCGATCCCCAGTACCCAAAACAACACAAAACAAAACACCACAGACAACCCAAAAACAGGGCTGGGGATTTAGCTCAGTGGCACAGCACCTGCCTGGCAAGAATGAGGTCCTGAGTTCTATCCCAGTACCCAAAAAAAGTAAAAAACCAAAAACAAGATTCATCAAAAAACTACGGGGCTATAGTGGCACATGCCTGTAGTCCTGTCCTCCCAGCTACTTGAGGGTCACTGCAGACCACATGTTCCAGATCAGTTCCAAATTAGCCTGCCCAGAAGGAAAAGACCCTCATGTCAATAAAAAGGCAGACTAATTGATGTACATGTCATTCATTTTTATTTTTATTTTTATTTTTTCCTGGTACTAGAGATTGAACCCAGGGCCTTAGAACTGAGCTATATGCCTAGCCTGTTTTTGTTGTTGTTGTTGTTGTTATTATACGGGGTCTCACTATGTAGTTCAGGCTGGCCTTGAACTCACTATGTATCCTAGCCTGGCCTCAAACTTATAGTGATGCTCCTGCCTCAGCCTCCCAAGTGCTGTGATTACAGGCATGTGCCACCATGTTCAGCTTAATCTTTGAGACATGTTTTCACTAAGTTACCCACACTGGGCTCAAACTTGTGATTCTCTTGCCTCAGCCTTTCAGAGTGTTGGAATTACAGGTGTACATCACCATGCTTGGCAAATTTTTATTTTGCTGAGGAATATTTCCTACCTGGTATCATCATAGGATGGATACCTATATTCGTGCCCTTATTAAAGCATCTATTGACTGTGTGACGTAGAAGAAGTTACTCTAACTCTAAACCTGTTTCATCTATTTAGTTGCATTGTTAGTAAAAGATCCTACTTACTAGAGTGGTTGGCCACAAATAAAGAGCATCTACATGTAAGGGGTTTGTAAATCCCATGTGACTTTAATGCTAAGAGGCATTTGTAGTAGGTGACGCTCACTGACTCATTCTGCCCTATCTTTCCCAACCTGTGAAGCCAGTTTCTTTTTATGTAGTAAGGGGCAATAATGTTTTGACTTATGTTTATGCAAGTTAGATCCCTGGAGCACTTTTTTGGGGGGTAACATCTGAGAAATTAGTTGGGAAGATATCTAATCAGCAGCAACACAGGAATATTCTTTTATAATTGGGAAGAATGTTAGGGGAGAGAGTTGGGAAGCATGAAAATATATTAACAGACTTTTTATATGAGACCTCCCTTCTGAGTCCATCTTGGTATATGGTAGTATTTCTTTTTTTTTTGGGTACCAAGGATCAAACTCTGGACCTTGCGCTTTCGAGGTGGGCAGCAGCACCACTGAGCTAAATCCCTGGCACATCTTGTTAGCATTTCAAGTGTAAACCATACCTTTGTCTCAGCAGAAGAGCATACATTAGATGCTGTTTGTTTTGTTTTTGTTTTTTGGTACTGGGGATCGAACTCGGGACCTTGTGCTTTTGAGGCAGGCAGCGGAACCACTGAACTAAATCCCTGGCCCGATACTGTTTGTTTTTGAAAACTTTTTGACTAAGCTAGAAAGTAACTCCTGGTTTTCAAAGGATTCCCTACAGGTTAGAGGAAGATGAAAGTGGCCACCAGGGAGTGAATTTTCTATGTTCTTCTCTTTGTTCCCTTTTAACTTGAACCTCCCTGGGGCCAGAAAATGGAACTGATTTTGTAAACCTGAGTGAAGAAATTAACTCAGAACTCTGATACCTGTTTTCTACTTGCAGAAATATGGAAAGAGACTGTCCCACTAGCTGGAGAACAGATGTTTCTTGTCGGATGCAGTCGAGACAGGACAGGAATGTGAAGCTCATTGTGAACAATGTGCTGAAAGAGATAAGAATTCTTAACATCTTTGGAGTTATTAAAGGTGTTGAAGAGCCAGGTAAGGCCGTTGTGCCCCCTTCCTCCCCATACTCCCTTTCTAGCTAACCTGGCTTAGTTTTGTGAAGTGCTAAATCTTGTCTGTTCTAAAATTAACTATTTAGGTCACTTTATTGAGACGTAACAAGGCCCTAGGAAGTTGACTTGTTAGAAACTAACCATTATGACCAGAAAATCTATGTTTAGTTATTGACAAGAACAAAGATAACGTTTTCCTTAAGGAGCAGATGAACATTTTGTGGGCCGTACAGTGTGAGTTATAACTGCTCCGTTTGGCCTACATAGCACGAAAACAGGCATAACCACCAAGTAATAAGTGAGCATGCAGACTAGTTTGCAGATGCCTGGAACTATTTAAATGCAGTCAAATAGTTAACATCATTTAGGAAGGAAAGCCCTTGGATTTACTAAAGTTTATTATTTAACGATTGCAGCCCCCAAATACACAACCACTGAATAAACATAATTGGTAAAATACAAAAAGTAGCAACACTAATAAGGGAAAAAATAGTATTGTCATGTGAATTTTTTCATATTCCCTGTTGGTGAATGTCATGTGAATTTTTAATCCCTGGCATCATAAGTCAGATCTGAAGTCAGGCTCATTCATCCTTAACACATACATGATACTTTTCTTTCTTTTTTTTTTTTTTTTGTTAACAGGGATCGAACTCGAGTCCTTGCGCTTGCGCAGCAGGCGGCGAAACCACTGAGCTAAATCCCTGGCCCATGATACTTTTCTATTGCCATGGTTGTTCTATCTAGACTTCGGTATTATAAATCAGTTTAAAATCTGATTCATAAGGTTTATTTTCTTTTTTAAGATCGCTATGTTGTAGTGGGGGCCCAGAGGGATTCCTGGGGTCCTGGAGCTGCGAAGGCCAGCGTGGGAACTGCTCTTCTATTGGAACTCGCCCGGACATTCTCAGATATGGTATTAAAAGGTGGAGTCCTTTGAACATTATTTGCTACATACCGTAGTTGTAGATGCTGTATGCTTTGCTCAATTTTGCCTGATTTAAGATTCTCTTATGCTAGACCCTTAGTTCTTAAGCACAAAGTAGATCATCTTTTTTTGACTTTGAAATGATTCTTCTTGAAGTATTTTATAATGATGGGAATCATGAGTTTCTTTGAGACACTGGAAAATAAATACTCTCTCGAGCCCTAATTCTGAGCTTGGATCTCAAGAATGAAATGGTAGATCTAATAGGAACTGGACCTGAGGAATGTACTTAAAAGCAGAGGCATATGCATGCTTATACTGTTTGACAAAACCTAATGACTGTTAGAATTTTGTCCTTTTACGTTCAGCCTTTTCACTCAAGATACTCAAAGGTCTTCTGACTCTCCCCTTATGTGCACACCTTCGATTGTTCAGGCAATAGGGTAAATTGCAGTGCTGAACTTTTGTAGAAGATACATTAATGCAGGAGAATACACACCCAGGGAAATGGGCGGGGTAGGGGCAGCAGCACAGGTAGTGCCAGCAACAGCTGTTGCACATGTTACTTGGAAGTGTCCTGGTATGTAAATTTGTGGATTTTTATTTCATAAAAAGAATCCCATGTTTTGGGGCCAGGGATTTAGCTCAGTGGCACTGCTCCTGCCTCTCAAGCACCAGGTCCTGAGTTTGATCCCCGGTACCAAAAAAAAAAAAATCCCATGTTTTAAGTGACTTGTGCCCCAGCCAAGTGTTCTACAAGAAGACACACATTATGCTTATGCAGTAATTTCAAGCACCTTTAAGTCTCAAGGTTCAGACCCCCAAAGAATGGAGCAGTAAGGAGCAAGACTCCCAGTGAGCTAGTTCCTTACCTGCAGATGATCTCCTGGGCTCTTTTTTGTAGATCACTTTAAAATTTTATTCCTGTTCCTTTAGTGTTCTTTTACCTGGAGTCTCAAAAGGAAAAGATCTACTTTTGAAGTCTGTTATCTTGAATTAGAAGCGTCTGGTTCAGTTACCAGTCATTTACCTGCCTGGAACCTTTCCCAAGGTAAAGCTGATTTTTTTGTTGGGTTTCAGATGGATTTAAGCCCCACAGAAGCATCATCTTTGTTAGCTGGAGCGCTGGAGACTTTGGAGCCGTCGGTGCCACTGAATGGCTAGAGGTATTTGCATTATCTGTGCTGAGGGGTTGAATGCTACTGGTTTAAACAATCCTCCTGGGGCCTGGGATTTAGCTCAGTGGTTCCACTGCCTGCCTTGAAAGGGCAAGGACCAGAGTTCAATCCCTGGTACCAAAAAAAAAACCAAATCCTCCAGGAGCCACTCTTTCAGGGTTCCTTATTCCGATGATCTCTAGAGGAAGTCTCAATAGAATCCAGATTTCTAATGCCTAACAGCAGCTACCATATGTGATTAATGCCTATGAATAAATACATATTATTAGTGTTTAATTATTATTTTCAGTAAGCTACATATTCACCCCTTCTGCCCCTGCTTTAAAAAAATTTGTTTTGTTTTGCTTTTTGAGACCAAGTCTTGCTGTCAAGGCTGCCCTTAAGCTCAAGTGAGCCTCCTGCCTCAGCTTCCTGAGTGTTGGGATTACATTTGCCACCATGTTCTGCCCAGAATACGTATTACTACTTTGTCTTAATATGTAAATTAATATCTTCTCTTCTAGGGATACATTACCTCTTTACATTTAAAGGCTGTCACTTACATTAATTTGGATAAAGCTGTTCTTGGTAAGTATCTCTTTCACTAGCTATTTATGAATTCAGGTAAACTATTTAGGAAACAGTGGAAGAAAACTTTCCAAAGCAGCACCTTGTCATTTTTACAGTTCACATGGCCCATAACTAGATGTAAATAATCCACCAAGTTAGAGGGCAAGCACAGATTACCATGTCCAGAACAGTGGTTCTCAATGTTCTCATCGGCATCAGTACTGTTAGGAATGGAAGTCTGAGGCCCCAGCCCACATCTTGTCAGAAACTAGAGTGTGGACCCAACAGACTGTTAAATTATAGAACCACTAGTCTGGAGAGAAGCAAGGAGTGTGGTACTCTGGGACAACTCATATCTTGCTGATTTGTGCAGCACTGATAGAAATACTGCGTAGCAAACTTTTAAATGAATTTAAACCAGTGGCTACACTGAGGATAGTGAAATGTCTGCATTAGGAAGAAAAAGGAAGGAATTGCAATTAAATTAACCTAATCTTTCTGAGACCAATTATTCACTGTTTTGACCTATGCAGCATTAATTTATTGAATGAAGCAAGCTTATTGTAGCTAGAAGATGAGTGAGACAAAATGGTTAAAAAAAATTCAAGATACTGGTAACGGAATATATGGGTGAGAGAGTATATATATATATATGTAAGGGAAATCACTGAACCTTTTAATTTTGCTGTAAATATAAAGCTCCTCCAAAAACACACTTTTTTTTTTTGGTACCAGGAATTGAACTTGGGACCTTGCGCTTGCCAGGCAGTCGGTGGAACCACTGAGCTAAATCCCTGGCCCCCCCAAAAAAATTCTTGAAAAAAATCACACTAAAATATGCAAACACAAGGAGTAAGAGCTTCTGCTGGGCGTGGTGGCATACGCCTATAATCCCACCATTCAGGAGGCTGAGGCAGGAGGTGCCTCGAGTTCCAGGACAGCCTGGGCTACATAGGGAGGTCCTGTCTCTTAAAAAAAAAAACCCCCCAAAAAAAGAAAATGGGTATGATCCTCAATTGAGTCAAGTTCAAATTGCATAGTTGCTGAAGAACATGACTCCTAAATTATTTTTTTGTCTACTTTATATACTTGTTGAATAGGGCCACAGATCTATATTATTGTCTTCCTGTTTACTCAGTGCTTGGTTGTTTGTTTGTTTGTTTTAAAGAGAAGGTCTTGGCCAGGGATTTAGCTCAGCGGTTTCGCTGCCTGCTGCACAAGCACAAGGACCTGAGTTCGATCCTTGGTACCAAAAAAAAAAAAAAGAGAGAGAGAGAAGGTCTAGCTATGTAGTATGTAGTGCAGGCTGGGCTCAAACTCAAAGTGATCCTCCTGCCTCAGCCTTTCAAGTGCTGGGATTATAGGTGTGTGCCACCTGCCTGGACTAGGTGCTTGTAGTTGTAAAAATATCAGTGTGAAAATTGCTTGACTGGAAAAGAGGCAATGTTAAAATAATTTCTTTGCAGGTACTACAAACTTCAAGGTTACTGGCAGCCCAATGTTGTATAAACTTATTGAAAAAACTATGCAAGAGGTGAGTGTGTGTACATCTCATTACAAAAATGTAACTTAATGCTTTTGACAAATTTACATAGGACAGAAATCATTAAACCATGATCAATAATCAATAACAGGTATTTTGGATAAGTTTTACAGCAGCATTATTTAAGTGATACTCCAGCTCATTGATTCCCTAGCCTATTGAACTATGTCAGGTGAGGGGGATGGTATATGAAGGGCTCAATATCAAAGAAGATAGTGTAATTAGGAATAGAAACAACACGAGGGAGGCCTCAGCTGCCCTATAAGTGCCAGTGAGTGTTAAGGAAAGGCTAAGTGGACTTGAATAAGGCAGATGAAATGTTAATTGAATAAAGACAAACACATGAATGACAATAGTTTTGCACAAGGGAGAAATATGTGAAAAAGAACGTTTGTCTCAGTAAGGAGCTATTGGAGTGATTAAAGTGGAAACAAATAAAGGTCAGACACTAGACATAGGCCTTAATCTCCCGGGAATCTAGGGATCCCTATTGGGTCTCAATCAAGGTGTTTGCTGGTTAGGCTGGGAGTATATAAAATAATGCTACGTGGAAGAGACTAGGAAAAAGATAGGCTCACCATATAGGCTAGAGAGAGAGAGGATTTTTTCTTTCTTTCTTTTTTTTTTTTTTTAGTTCTTTTATTGGTACATTTTAGGTATACAATTCATTTACATTTATCATTGGGTGTTTGTACCTGTACATGATATATCTTGGTTCTTATTTTTTTTTCCCCATTACCTGTGCACCCTTCACCCCCTCCACCCTTCCCTGTTTATATAGATTTCATTTCCTTTTTTTTTTTTCTTTTTTTTTCTTTTCTGATAGTATTTCCTTTCCCCTTCACCCCTTCGTCTTTGGACCTTTTTTCCTATTTCAAATTATCAATTATTCATTTTAATCATTTTAACCCTTGTTTACACTATCAGTTTCTCACACTAGTGAAACTATTCGGTATTTACACATGTGTGTCCTATTTATTTCACTTAAGAGTATGGCCTTGATATGCATCCATTTAGCTATAAATGACGCTAGTTTTTTTTTTTTTGGTACTGGGATCGAACTCAGGACCTTGCGCTTATGAGGCAGGTGCCGGAACCACTGAACTAAATCCCTGGCCCTAGTTTTTTGTTCTTTATGGCTGAGTAGTACTCCATTTTATTAAAAAACCACATTTTCTTTATCCAGTTTCCAGTTGATGGGCACTTGGGCTGCTTCCAAGCTTTAGCTATTACAAACTGCCGCTATGAACATGGGTGCACATAATATCACTGTGGTACGATTCTTTTAATTCTTTTGGGAAGATACCCAGCAGGGGAGTAGCTAGGTCAAATGGGACCTCTAGTCCTAGTTCTTTGAGGTATCTCCATACTGATTTCCACAGTGGTTGCACCAGTCTGCACTCCCACCAGCAATGGAGAAGGGTTCCTTTCTCCCCACAACCCTATCAACATTTGTTATTTGTTGATTTTTTTTTTTTTTTGCGGGGGGGGACCAGGGATCGAACTCAGGTCTTTGTGCTTGCACAACAGGCCGCGAAACCACTGAGCTAAATCCCCAGCCCTATTTGTTGATTTCTTGATAGCATAGGCTAGAGAGGGTTTTTAAGATTATATTTAAGCGCCCTATAAAATGTCAATTAAGAAGGATATTTTTTTCTTAAGTGTTGACAGTACAAACCTAGTAAGAGTAACCTAAGAAATTTGAGATTGTTTTAACTAAAATATATTTTTTCAAGAAGATATAATGTAATTTTTATGTATATTTGGAGATAACATGTTAATGCCTAGACTGAATAAGTTCTGAAAAGTTAATTTTTATCATAACTTCATTTCTTATTTTACAGGTGAAGCATCCACTTACTGGGGCATCTCTATATAAGGATAGCAATTGGGTCAACAAAGTGTAAGTTGAGGAAAGTGAATGAGCAAGCTAATAGAGAAGCAGAATTGCCCAGTAGCACCTACCACATTGGGTAGAAAGCTGACCCTCACCTTGCAGTGAGCTGAGCTGTAACTAGAGTCACCTGAAGAACGTATTGGGGGTGAACGGAGGGTTGCGTGGTAGCATGGTCTGTTCTTTAGAATGCAGTCTGAAGACATATTCTTGCTTTTTTTTTTTTTTGGTACCGGGGATTGCACTTGGGACCTTGCACTTTTGAGGCAGGTGCTGGAACCACTGAGCTAAATCCTCGGCCCTATTCTTGCTTTCTTTGCAGTGAGAAACTTTCTTTTGACAACGCTGCTTTTCCTTTCCTCGCATATTCTGGAATTCCAGCAGTTTCTTTTTGTTTTTGTGAGGTGAGTCTGAAGAACTCGGCAGTGTTATACATTTGGTCTTCTTACTTTAACTGAGACCAGGTTTCCTAGAGTGCTTCAATGGTTTGAAGGAGTTATATACATGTAATTATTGCATGTTCCCTTATTATCAGTCTTAACATAAATTTATCACCTCTGCTTAATTCGTATTTCAGTTTATTGCTAAAACTCAGTGGAGTAGGCTGTTTTCAAAACAGCTTGCTTACTTAAATGATTTAAGTAGCTAATAGCTACCTAGTGAATAGTGCAGTTTACAGTATTTCTGTCAAACAAAATTTTACTTGGACACTACTGGGTAGGTACCTATTGAAGAAATCCTAGGTCCAGAAATGTTAGTCTTTTAAGGAGAGATAAAAGCACAAATATCAGGTGTAAGATTGTTGAGACAGAACTTTGAACTGATCACATTTAAGAAAATACAACTGGGGGACCTGAGAGCCAGTTAGAAGGCACTGAAGGCCTGCAGGGGAACAGAACGCCAAAAGCCCCTGTGTCCAGCGCTACCATTGGAAAACTGGCCCCGCAGCAGGGCTGCTGAGAATGAGAGTTGGGTGTAGCTCAGTGCGAAGGCTCTGGCAGTGCTACAGAAAGGAAAAAAACTGGGTGTCAGGTCGTATGGTTGCAAGAATTTATGAATGATTTCTCTTGATCTTTACATGTTGTGTTTTTTAAAAACATCAAATGTGATCTGAGATGTGAAAGCCTTCTAGTGCTGGTTAAGAGGTACAGCCATAGAAAATGTACAGTCTGAATGAGGTTGAACCAGAGGATTATCAGTGACATTGTCACTGAACTACACAATGAGAACCTGTCTCAAAAAAATTAAAACAGTAAAGTTGCCCAATGAAGCATTCAATATTTTGTTGCAAATGTAATGTGCATGAATGAACCAAGTGCCACATGATTAGGAAGTTTTTAGGCTTAAGAGTGATACTTTGGGCGGGGTGTGGTGGTACATCCCTGTGATCCCTGCACTATAAAAGGAGACCCTGTCTCAAAAAACAAAAATAATACTTTATATTGTTGACTTTGCCTTTTGTTTTTGAGGCAGTCTCACTGTGTAGTTGAGGCTAGCCTTGAACTCACAGCAATCTTCCTGCCTCAGCCTCCTGAGTGCTAGGATTACAGGCATGCACCACCATGTCTAGCAAGAGTAATACCTTATATTGAAATTACCTTTCATGTGTGGTCTTCTCTGTCCCCATTAATACGGGCCGCCAAACTCCCCAGAGAGAAAAGAAGGGGTACAGCCTCAGGAGTTTGGCAGGGAATGTGGAGAAGGTAGAACATGGGTTTTGTGAGACTTGGGAGAGAGCAGTCATTCTAGGAGTAGATCAGATTCCAAGGCAGTAGCAAGGATAGCGCCTTAAAGTAGCAACAGACAGGAAATGCAAGTGGGGTGGAATAAATTAGAAGCAAGGGGAGAATTACAGTAACTGTTAACCTTGATGAAGCCAGAATTCATGGCTCCTCTTCTTCAGATGCACAGAATACAGTAGCTTCCTTTATTTCCAGGACAAGGGCTATCCTTACTTGAGTACCACCCTGGATAACTATGACATGCTGATGCGGGAAATTCCTCAGTTGAACAAATTAATGTATGCAGCAGCAGAGGTGGCCGGTCAGTTCCTGATCAGACTGACCCATGATCTTGAATTAAACCTGGACTATGAGGTTTATAACAGCAAAATGCTTTTGTTTCTGAGAGAACTGATGCAACACACGACAGACATAAAGGTGAGCAATAATTGCAATTAGGTTTTTTCAAAAATAATTTAAAATTTTATGGGAGTGGTGTCACACACCTGCAATCCTAGCACTTGGGAAGCTGAAGTATGTGGCAAGACCTTGTCTCAATAAAATTTAAATTTATTTTTAACCAATACATTAAAAACTTTTAAACTTTACAGATTTATGGAAGTGCATGTGGTATTGTGATGTGCATATTCATTGTGTAATATTTAAATCAGGGTAAACCCATCTCAACCACCATTTCCTTGTGAAAATATCAAAATCTAGCTTTTTGAAATATAGTGCGTCACCCTTACCCATAGTCAATAGCAGACCGGACTTCTTATGTTCCACCAATGAGTGAGGTCACGCAGTACTTGTCTTTCTATGCCTGGCTTATTTCACTTACTAGAACAATCTCTAGTTCTATCCACATTGTCACAAATGATAGGATTTTATCCTTTAATATGAGTGATACGTTCCTGCCACATGTTCTTCATCCGTCTGTAATCTGACCTGATGGACACTTAGCTTGTTTCCATTTTGGGGTACTGGGAAGTGCTGCAATAAACAAGGGAGTATAGGTGTCTCTTCCATATACTAATTTTTTTACTCTAGGAGTGGGATTTCTGGATTATACCATAGTTTTATTTTTCAATTTTTTGAGCCTCCACACCATTCTCCATAATGACTGTACTAATTTAAACTCCCATGAGATTAAGTTCTTATTTCTGAAGTTTGAAGTATGATATTTCTGGGGAAGGATATGATTAGTAGCCAAAAGCACATTTTAAAGTAACTGGGTATAATTTTGCTTAGAATTCATAACTCATTTGAAAAAGAAGTTGGGAGACTGTGGGTTATAGATCTAGGATAGACCACAGCGGGTATTTCAGAATAGAGAGCTGTCTTCAACCTAAACATAGGTAGGACTGGGCCGGGGATTTACCTCAGTGGTTCCACTGCCTGCCTTGCAAGCACAAGGTCCTTAGTTTGATATCCGGTACCCAAAACATAGGTAGGACCTATACAGTCCAAAGATCTTTAGTGTAAATTGGGCTGTGTACCTTTCAGACATGGCTGGGGTGGACAGACCATCAGAAGTAGTTACCATGTTACTTGGTGTTTATCCTATGAGTCTAGTATTCAAATAGAGTCAGATGACTTAACAGGCCCTTAGCTGAAGCAAATCACTAATAAATCTTGACTATTATGCCTTCCTTGAAACTCTTAACTGTTGAAAATGGAACTTCTCATGGTAATAACTTGAAGTTGATGGAACCAGAATGTTTGCCATTTTCCCCATAGAGAAATTGAACTGGAAGCAATAGAGTGTATAGGACGATATACTTTTCTTAAGTTATATTGGATTTCTTAATGAAAATGTTTTCTTCTGGTGCCAAGAATGGATAATGGTACTATCTGCTGGGTGAGGATGAGTACGTAACCATGGCTTCATGAAGCCTTTGGTACAAGTTACTGAAATTGGCTTTCTGATTCTTGAGTTTGTCTGTGATTCACTTCCTTTTATTGCAGTCTTCTCAGTTGCCACATTTAAGCTAGAAAGGTCAAGAAATAACACCCCTTTGAATGTCCCCTGTCACAGTGAACACAATGCCTTTCTGTTTCAGGAGATGGGGCTGAGCCTGCAGTGGCTGTATTCTGCTCGTGGAGACTTCTTCCGTGCGACTTCCAGACTGACGACAGATTTCCACAGTGCTGAGAGAACAAACAGGTTCATCATGAAGGAGTTAAATGATCGTATTATGAAAGTAAGTAAAGTCTTAGAAGAGGGGGGCCTAAAGTATATACTTTTTTTTTTGGTGCCAGGGATCGAACTCGGGACCTTTCGCTTTCGAGGCAGGCACCAGAACCACTGAGCTAAATCCCTGCCCCATACATTTTTAATTTGTAAATTTTTCATTTCTAAAAAGTAGAGTAACTCTTGGCCAGGGATTTAGCTCAGTGGTGCCGCCATCTGCCTTGAAAGTGCAAGGTCCTGAGTTCGATCCCCAGTACCAAAAAAGAAAAAAAGAAAAGTAGGGTTACTCTAGAAGTCTAGAGTCCTGTGCTATTTTGTTAGGTTGTTCTGTTTTGTTTTGTTCTGTTTTTTGAGACAAGGTCTTGCTTTGTAGTTCAGGCTGGCCCTGAACTTACTGTGTAGCCCAGGCTGGCCTCAAACTCTCAGCGATCCTCCTGCCTCTGCCTCCCAAGTGCTGGGATTCCAGGCGTGCTCCACCACACCTGGCCCTCTTGGCTACTTTAGAATTGAGCGCAGATTTTAACACTTAGCAAGATCTAAAACGAACCTATCTGGAAATGCAAGAGATATTTGATGGTATATTAATTTTTGGAAGGTTAAAAACATTTCTTAGGGGATGTGGATGTAGCTCTAGTAGAGTGAGTGCTTTACACACACATAAGGCTGTGGGTTCAATTCTCAGCACCAAAGGGAAGGTAGGAAGAAAGGGAGGGAGGGGAAAAAAGATGAACTAAGCACTTTGAGGGTAGGTTGTAAATCTGTTTATCTTCTCTAACCAAAAAAATCTCATCAGTAAAGTTTACCTTAACAAGGCATTGACAGGTTGCTTCAGAATCTTAACCTAAGAAAAGCAGTAACTCAGTTCCCAACATTCTCAAATTCAGAAGTTTGGCATTTGAGGTGGGAGGATGAGGGCCCCCTGCTCACAAGAGCTATAGCACTGTGCGTGCCATCTTGTCCATCTTATTTGCGCAGGTGGAGTACCACTTCCTGTCACCCTACGTGTCCCCGAGGGAGTCTCCTTTCCGGCATATCTTCTGGGGCTCTGGCTCTCACACTCTGCAAGCTTTACTGGATAACTTGAAGCTGCGAAAGGAGAATAAAGCTGCATTTAATGAAACACTGTTTAGGAACCAGTTGGCTCTGGCAACTTGGACAATTCAAGGCGTGGCAAATGCCCTCTCTGGTGACATTTGGGATATTGACAATGAGTTTTAAATATCATCACAAGCATAACTAACATAAGAACAACAGGGTATTCTGATTTCTAGACTTGTACTGGTTGTGCTAAATTTTTCCATAGGGCTATAAAACCTAATGTTACAATTATATCCAGTCATCTTGGTAATATTCGATGTCTTTAGGCAGAGCTTTTACTACAGGCTAGGTTAAAGTGAATAACCACTTTAAAAATTTTCCTCTGATTATCTCTAGAATTTTAAGTGCTTTTTAATGTAACTGCCTCTTTGCATCCTTTGCTGAAAATATGAGAACCAGTTACACGAACTATTGCTGTAAATCCTGAGGACATGGGCTGGTGTCTTTTTGAGATGGGAAGGAGAGTCTACGGCCATACCATCCTGAACGCGCCCGATCTCATCTGAGATGGGAGGAGAAGGTGTGTCCTGGAGGTCAGAGTGGTAGCTCAGTGTGGTCCTCTATCAGATTTGATGCTAACAGGAGCTTCCAGTTCTCCAGACAAACCACACACCCCTCCGTAAGGACGTGGCTGTCTCCACATCCCTGAGTGAAACAGTTAGCTTTTAGAGAGATAGGACTGGTTTCCTTGCCAACAAGACCTGAAACAGAGGTCCTTCCACTAGGTCAAATAAGGTTCAACTGTTTATTGCAGGAGTAAGGCCTTAATGTGTGAACTATTTTTTAAAGTGGAGACCAGACACCAAAGCGTTTTAGTGTATTCTCTTTTCCTGTGACCTGCTTCATAGCCTTTGTTTAGTTCTTTGTATTTTTTCCCCCAAACTTCTGAAAGAAAACCAGTCTTAGGCATTTTAGACTCAGTTTGTCAGGCTTTAAAGAACACATTGCCAAATTTTGGCCAAAGTGTTAATCTTTTGGGAAAGCTTTTTATCGTTTTGGCACTGAGATATTTATTGTTTATTTATCAGTGACAGAGTTCACTATAAATGTTTTTTTTATAGAAGATAATTATCGGAAGCAGTGCCTTCCATAATTATGACAGTTATACTGTCGTTTTTTTTTAAATAAAAGCAGCATCTGCTAATAAAACCCAACAGATACTGGAAGTTTTGCACTTATGGTTAAACCTGAGGGTCTTAGAAAACAGCCACAAGCCAAATAATATTGTAATGCTAAGCATTGGGAAAAAATCAAATTTAATTAGGGCTGCTAATAAGATAAATTGTTTGACAGGCCAGATAAAATTGATAGGTCTCTTAAATGCAATGAATTCCAACCACGTTATAAATGAATGTCACTGAAAGGCTGTGGTAGTACTCATATATAAAAAATTTTACTAAAAAAACAAAACAAAACAAAAAATTTTACTGCTCAATTTGTCTATGGTATAACTTAAATTCCAATTTTGCAAAATTTCCAGTACCTTTGTCACAAACCTAACTGACATTATCGGGAGCAGTGTCTTCCATAATGTATAAAGAACAAGGTAGTTTTTGCCTACCACAGTGTCTATATCGGAGACAGTGCTCTCCATATGTTACACTAAGGGTGTACGTAATTATCGGGAACAGTGTTTCCCATAATTTTCTTCATGCAATGACATCTTCAAAGCTGAAGATCGTTAGTATCTAACATGTATCCCCAACTCCCTGTAACTCTCCTTTTAGTCGCAGAAACATTTTGTGGTCATTAAGCATTTGGTGGGTAAATTCAGCTGCTATAAAATAAAACTGCTACTTTAAGATCTTTTTTTTTTTTTAAGCTTCATATGGGTGTTTTGTTACCTTTGTGGTTTCTCCAAGTCCTCTGTGTAGTGGGATAGTAGCATACATTTGTTACATTTGCTGTTAGTAAATGAATTTAACTCTGTCCCCTCATTTGCATGTTACCTGTAAACTTAGTTCAGGAAGTTTGAATCTAGGGTTGAGCTTTTGGCTTAAAGCAGGGGAACTTGTTTAGGTTTGGGAGGTGGGAGGTGAAGGCTGGGGACGTGGAGCTTGTGGAAGGGTCTTTGGTCCTGCCTCCTCCCTTTCTATGGGCAGGGGTTCTGTAGATAAGCAGAAGTCAGTTTGAGGCTCCCTGAGTAAAGACTTTATCCTCTACTCCGCCACCATGGTAAGTAAGCCTGATAAGCAGCTGGTGGTCTAGGAAAGTACTAAATCGCCACCCTGAGGAAAAGTCAGTACATTCTTAAATTTGTGTCACTTACCTAAGTTACAGTAGACCTAGATTACTTTGCAGCCCCACTGAATTGTGTTGCTATTCAGTCTCTAATCTTTACAATGTTTTGTATTGGGCCAATGTTCAGTGTTGCTAAAGCTCAGCGACTTTCAAGGCACCATGTGAAACAAGGTCATATAGTAAGGCTCTAAAAAACCAACTCTTTTTCTATGATTAAGGTTGACTTATTTCCAAGCAAACAAGTCAGTTGTAAGAGGCTTTGTGCCCCAGAAGGAGATTCGTATCTGACTAGTGACAGCCTGTTAGTCTTCAGATATTTTTTTCCTGGTTAAGATGCTTGTTTTGAAGGCGAAGGCTGAACTGTGACCTCTGCCATGATTGACTGTCCTAGTACTCGAGTGGCCTCACTGTTTGCTCTGTGATTGCTCTGGACATTGTAGATTCATTGCGCTCCTGTAATCAAGAGCTGTGCCCTGATTAATGTCCACAGCCTGTATGTGTGGCAATATGGAGATTCCTTGTCTGATTTAATAAAATGCTTGAATACTCTGTGTTGTTTTTGTTGTTGTTTTAAAGAACAGTTAGGCTTATTTTTATTTTTTTGAGGAAGAGTTTTTCACAGTGCATCTGTCACAGTTATGACCCTCTGCAGACATGTCACCCAAGTCCACTCAGCTAAACTGGTCTTAGTCCATTGAAATAACAAAATTCCAGTCTCACTGCCAAGGAGTTGCTGGTTTTTGTCAGTTCCCTCTCTATTCTTATTCCCTTAATTCGCTGCATCTGACTCCATTGGGTTCAGAGGAGAGCAAAGGGGCAAAAGCTTTTGGGGAAGCAGTACTGTGGATTGAACTGGGGTGCTCTACCACTGAATTGTACCCCCAGCCTCCCCTTTTTATTTTTTGTTTTGAGACGTCTCACTAAGTTGCCCAGGGGACAAGGATGTAAATTACCTAAGCTTCCATGAAGGGGTCAAAAAATGAGTCAAACAAAACTTGTGGTTTGAGAAGTCAGATAGTACTTCAAGATTTAATTTAAAAAAACAAACAACTGGGGCTGTAACTTGGGTAGAGCAGCCAGCGTGTGCAAAGCCTTGGGTTCCAATTTCCATACCACTAACAAAAAGCTACAATAATAAAAACCAAGACATATTATGTAAAGGTACAAATTCTCAATGAATGTCATCATATTGTACACCTAAAATGTATCAATAAACTTAATGAAAAAATAAAATTGGTAGAAAAACTACACACAAAACCTCTAACCTTCCATGGTCCTTGCAGGGAATGGGTTTTGCTAGCAGTTTCTTTTTTTTTTTTTTTGTACTGGGGACCAAACTCGGGACCTTGTGCTTGCAAGGTAGGTGCCAGAACCACTGAGCTAAATCCTCGGCTAGTTTCTTTTGGCATTTATTCCTCTTTTTCTTTTTTTTAAAGTCAGAGTCTCACTATGTACTTCAGGCTGGTCTTGAACTCAGCGGAGCCTCCTGCCTCAGCCTCCCAAGCGCTGGGATTACAGGTGTGTGCCACCACGTCCAGCTTGTACTCCTTACTTCTGAATAACATACCTACAGTATTTCTTGATTTTTTTCAGTTTCTGTTGAATTTATATGGAAAATGTGGCTTCAACTCTTAAACCAACTCCTTCCCATTCTTCCAGTGTAGCTGTTGACTAAACCATCAGTGATTATTCACATGAGGCATACGGTGAACTATGGCTACCTTTCCTTGTATCCTTTATTTTCTCTAATTGTCTAATTAAAAAATTAGTTTGCTTTGTTTCCTCCTTGCCTTCCTCTATCTCATCCAGGAATCCAAAAGAAATCTCTCCCATTTCCTTAACACTTAGAGATTGTATCCTGTCTTTGGACACGTGATTTCCCCGGCCTTTTCAAGACCCTTGTCATCTCTTGTACCTGCTGTGCTTGGTGCTGTTTCCCTCTGTGCTCCCTGTATGAATGCTCACACCAGCAGCACTCTGACCACAAGAGCTCAATCCGTGTTCGGTTGTTAGCCATGTGCACTAGTATTGAACATGCGTGTGTTGCCAGACTCGGGTCCAGGCTTTCTTGAGGTCTAGCCGGTCCTCTCCACTCATCTTTTGCGGTGCTGCCTCATCACCTTCAACTTCACAAATGAGACTGAGCCTTACACAATCTACACAGACAGGATTCACAGAAATATTTTATTTTTGCTGCTCAGCTTTGGCCTGCTATGTATGTGTGCATTAGAGGGGTTCAGGGGTTGAGTGGGAGAAGCCATGTTTCAATCTGGGTCATGGTGATTCTAATCCAAGTTCAGTCACTACTCTGAAGCTGCCAAGTGTCCCTAAGAATCCTGTCTTAGTTTCCTCACTGCCGAAGGAGGCGTGGGCCTGGTGTTCTGGCAGATCCTTTCCAGCTCAGACGGAAAACCCCTTTCCCCCACGAATGTGTACTTTCTCCTCCTCTCTGTCCTTTATAATCCTTTCTTCTGCATCCTAGTAACAGAGGTGCTACTGGCGAGATGGGATTAATCTGTTATTTTGCAAGCATCCCTTAGGCATTTGGGGGCGCCCTGTGTTTCCCTGTTAGCATCCCTCTTGTGAGTCTATTGATACTGACAGGTTTTTTGAATAACATTCTGGAAACTTGCCTTTTTTTTCTAAACTTTTTTTTTAACATTGAACTTGTGAGGCAAGCAGTGGAACCACTGAGCTAAATCCCCGGCCCCTATTTTTTGCTTTTCAAGTCAGGGTCTCACTATATAGTTCAGGCTAGCTTCTAACTCAATATTTAGCCCAAGTTGGCCTCAAACTCAGGGCAGTCCTCCTGCTTCGGCTTCCTGAGTGCTGAGATTACAGGCGTGCACCACCACAGCAGGCAGGAACTTGCCTTTCGTTAGGGACAAGCCCACTGCAGGAGTTACAGCTGTGTCCCTGCTAACAGTGAGTATCCAGCCCAATGTTGTACCCACTTCCCTGAGTAGCACACCGATTGCCTTTCTGGAGACGGGGTTTCCTGGTTTTAAGCCACAGACCTGTCTTGATCTCTGTTTTTGGCTTGTGGGGCCTCCTGGACTCAACATGTCGAACCAACCCCTCGGAGCTAAAGGGATTTGCAGGACCCCTAGGGGTACCTAGAGAGCAATGCTGAGTTCTTGGGTAAGGGAGAGATGTGATGAAGTTGATGTTCCAGGGAGATTAATGGGGAATTAAAGTGTAGGCACAGGCTGAAGTCGGCAAGATCATGTAGAGAACACCATGCAAGGGTGGAAATGTCACAGCTTTCTTATTAATCCTTATAACCTCCCGGCATGGGGATCTCGTCTAAGAAACCACTGGAAGGGGAGCAAGAGGTGGAGGGAAGGGGGAAGGGAGGGAGGGGATGAGAAAAGAATTGAGACGTGTTGTATGCATGCACCAACTCGCCACCAGGAATGTGATCCTTATGTACTGCAAACATGGACTAATAAAAATAAAATAACAGCCTGCTGATGAAAGGATTTATTTTTTCTTACTTGGAAGTAAATGCATAGTTGGCCTCCAGCATTTAGAAGGTGCTTGATTAGAATTTGAATGAGAAACCCAAGCCAGGACTTGGACCAGTACCTTTAAGTGGAGTGAAGTAGTAGCTGATGAGAAGCAAGGCAGGAGGATGGGGGTCTGTAGTAGCTGGGGCAGCTACTGAGAACATGAGTCTGGGTGTGGTGGGTCATCCTGGAATCCCAGCACTCAGGAGGCTGAGACAAGAGGACTGCCACAAGTTTATGGCCAGCCTGGGCTACACAGTGGACCCTGTCTCAAAAAAACAAAACAAAAGAACTGAGTCAAGTTTATGGGCAAGTGAGAGCCAGAGGAGTAGGGGAGAGGGGGCTGAATTTGAGTTTAGGTTCTGTTGTCACCTCCTGGGATCCATGTGACCAAGTGGAAATGTCTGGTGGTCAGCTGGACACCCCAGGTCAGTCCGGTGCAGGGAGCTGTGCACGAGGCCTGGTGAACACATGTGGGGGTGCGGGGTGTGGAAGGGAGCTTTCCCAGCCAAGGGAGACGGCCGTTCTCAGGCACAGGCTTGCCTGGGCAGGAGGGGAAGGAGCATATAGCCAAGGATGCAGCGTCTACATTCCAGGTGAAGAGAATTGAGACAGAGAAAAATGTTTTGGAAAAAAAAAAATATGGACAGAAGGGTATGAAAGTGAAAAAACACTTTGCTGATTGAAGATAAGCCCTGACTGCTATGCATTTCTAGACTTGCAACAGTGGATTCCAGGGGAAGCTGGGTTTCGGGGCTAACGTAAGGGATAAAAGGATCCAGTCCTTTTATTTTATTTTATTTTATCTTATCTTATTTTATCTTATTTTATCTTATTTTAGAGACAGGGTTTCACCAAGTTACCCAGGCTGTACTCAAACTTTCAATCCTCCTGCCTCTCAGTCTCCCAGAGTGCTGGGATTACAGATGTGCACCATCACACCTAGCTGTCAGTCTTTAATATTATTAGTCCTGAGTCCCCTCTGGAAGCTCTCAATTAGTAGCTTGAGCCACGTCTCACATGATTCTTCTGACACTGCCTGAACACACCACAAATCCTTAGTTCATACGCAGCCTTTTGCTGGTTACCAACCCTAACTCTAGGTGTCCACCAGGGGGCAGCAGAACGCAGAGCTTCCTGGTTCTTCCTTTGGGAATAAATAACCCACATTGACCTCAGGGTTTCCTCATCCCTTGACTCATCTGGCTCTGACTCTAGGTTGAGAGGGGACAGGTGTGTGGGCGCAGCCTCCTGATGCCCTAGTAAGGTTTTGAAAATTGAATTGCTTGGGGGCAGTGAACGCTGGTCTGAGTGATGGGGTCTAGATCCTGGGGGACATGGCCTGAGTTAACAGTTCCTCCCACGTCTCTAGATTCCTTCAGAATCTTCCCTCCACCTTCACTAAGATGCTGATGACCTTTTCCAGACTCTGAAACCCTTTGCCTTTGTTCAGTCACAGTCCACGCAGACTCGAGCCCTCATCTCACACTTCAGTTCTCTTGGGCCTCAGTTCGGTCACCTAGGCACACAGAGGACTCTAGGAAACCATGACCAAGATATCTGGCCTCTCCCCCTCCCTTCCCAAGTTTACATGTTAGCCCAGTGCTGCCCACTTCCGGTTGCCCCTTGGAATTGAGAGCTTCTAGAGCTACAGTCACAGAGCCCCACCCCAGTGACTCCAGTTTAATTGTGCTAGGCAGAGCCTGGGCAACAGCAAGCACAGTGTTTCTTTTTTTTTTTTTGGTTCTGGGAATCAAACTCAGGACCTTGCGCTTTCAAGACAGGCGGTGGCACCACTGAGCTAAATCCCAGGCCCTGCACAGTGTTCCTTATTTAATTATTTATTTATTTTAAAAAAATTTTTACGGTTGTTTTTTTTTGAGACAGGGTCTCACTATGTAGTTCAGGCTGGCCTTGAACTTGCAGCAATCCTCCTGCTTCCCAAGTTCTAGGATCACAAGCATGCACCACCATGGCTGGCTAGCACAGTGGTTTTTGAAGCTTTCCTTATGATTATGTGCAGCAGCATTGAGAACTTCT